CCTGAAAGTAGTTATTTTTCATTGCAGGGAAGAAGGTGTCTGTTTCTACCCATCGCAGGAAGTTATTGTGCAAAGACAAGAAAATGGCATTTATGCAGTGCAAGTGGCTAAATCCACTGCTTGGGCTGCTGTGCACAGATATACAGATACAGTGCATACAAATATACCGGTATTACGGATAGCCACACGTATGGATGGTATCATGCAGCATGACAGTACAAGCGCACTGCTCAAGAAGCTGATGTTGCCAACAGAGACCAAAGAGCCACTGCATAGTAAGTGACCTCCTAGGTCAGCGCTTGCTGAGTTTGGCCCTAGGAACGCCCAGACCCTGCACACAGCAGCAGTTGCCCGTATGTACAGCTAGGCCTGGCACGGGTTCACAAAGCACAGCTCTTCTCTGAACTGTGAGATGCTCATTAGCAGTGTTCATTTGCATTACTGTGATGCCTAGCATGTAGGGGTTGCTGTTGAAAGAACAGGATTTATAAAATCATGTTTGTACTTACAGAAAGAGGGAAGAAATATGTCGGGAACTGAAAGAAGCTCACAAAAGCTCACAATAGTCATTATTACTGGGGAACATCTCAGCAAAACGGATGGAACCCCAAGTAAATCGGATTAATTAGAATCAGATCATGATACATCAGACAAATTAAATTAGATCATGATGTGCATGGCAATGTTGAAATTCCACAAGCAGCACAGATTCTTTTGCTATTCTTGCTGTATTTCCTAACCTTTTTACAGGATCACCCTGTATATGTTGAAATTGGCTCTTTAGTAGAGTACAGAGGGGACAGAACTGATACAAGTTCTCCTGTCCAGAACAAACGGGCAGACTAAGAAGGCTGCACGTAAGAAAAAAAAAAGTCACATGTGACAGACAAACAGGGAGAGCCTGACAGGAAGTAGGATCTATGAGGGCAGAACTGAGCAGCTAAAGGATGATCCACAAGGAGGGAAAGAAACGTACTTGTCTGCATCCAGCTCTCAAACTAAGCAAGTCTGCCCTCCCTCAGATCCCACTCACACATGCCGGGAGAAATCCACTTGGAAAGACGGAAGTAGGAGGTGTGTGAAGGGAGGGCATAGCATGTACGGACAAACACGCCTTCTACTGAAGAACGCCTAAGTATTCTGTAACACCTGAAGCAGTCCCAGGCAAAGCCAGCAAGGTGAGATCCTTCTTGCTACACAGCTATCGCCTAAATAGGAAGAAGCTAGCCCACACTAGAATCGATTTAAATGAAACAGGGGTGGAGAAAGAGAGAATGCAAATAACTGAATTTTTGTTTCTGGCCTTCAGAGAACCAGGTGCAGACAGGCTGAATACTCATGGGCTTCAAGGGGAACCAAGGGGCCCAGCCTCTCCAGGGACTGGATGTCCAGCTGAAATGCTGGCCTCACTGAAAGCAGCAGCAAAACTTTCAGTTGCTTCTCCAGAGCCAAGGTTCTCCCGTTTGTCTGTTCTATGCTAGCACCAGATATTAACATGTGAAGCTCTGTGTAGTACTGAGTAATTGTCTCAAAACGATTTTCTTCTGTATGCTCATTTTTTGTGTATTTTTGCATTAAATCGTTTTATTTTGTTCCTAAATGCATACGATCTTTAAAAAGTTGAGCTACGTTGCTGTAGTGAATGTAGGTTATTACACTTGCTTTAAAGATTTCTGTAAGTTTGTCAACCAGAGAAGGGCTGGCTTACCAGATTGTTTTTCAAAGGTACTTAAAACGAGAGTTTGCTCTCATGATTCTCATTGGAAAATTATTCCAGACCTCAATCCTCCGATGTTTAGAAACCTTCTGATTTTCTGCAAATTGGCCTTGTATTCAGGGGCAATTTATACCTAGTTTTAGTGTGCCAACATTTCTGTGTTTATCCTCATAGCATGGTCCTAACCACGTCCCTGGCAGGCACTTGTTTTTCAGGTGCTTTTGAAGCCTATCAAAATTAATTTTTGGGGGGGTGTACATTTCGAAAGAAGTTCCTTTGGTTAGTCTGGTGGCAATGAGAAACAACTAGAGCTCAAGTTCTTGAGGAGACTTTGCCTAATACAGATTAAGGTCCTACTAATAAATTCTCCTACAGACAAAGGCAAAAAGGTGCTAATGGTGCTATTGTTTCATCCCTGGGCTGGCACTGATACTACTGACTGTGACTACCTTGGCTGCACCTGACAGTGGGTCCCTCTTTCTTATCAACTAGTAGGACAATTACCTTCCCTGAAAATGCTCTTTTGTGGGGGTGCCACAGAATACTGCCTGACCGCCTACATCCGGATGTTTTTAGTCTTCCATCCTGCTCCTACATAAGGGAAGGGTTTTCACAGCGGTTCAAAGCTGCTTTTACCCTCCCTGTAGCAAGATTGTGAGCCTGATTTTACCAGCCATCCACTCAGCCGTGAAACTTCCTCAGTACACAGGCTTGAACAAAGCCTTCACAACGAAATACCTTTTTCCCCCATGGGTCTCTGTGGGAGGGGATTTTTGGCAGTTCTCTCTAGCAGGTTAGACGTAAAGCAAAAGCAATTCTAACTCCTGACCTAGAAGAGGTTGTCAGGCAATTTTCTGCATGTCAGCATTGCTTCTCGTTCCAAGGGAAGAAACAGCGTGTGCGCTGCCCTCCTTTCCTGAAGCTCAGATTAGCAGGGACACAAAGCAGCTCTGATCAGACCAGCACTGCAGGTCTCCTTGACCTGGGAAAGACTGACAGCCAGCCAGGCCTATCTCATGAAACCAACCACTACACGAACCCTGCCCAATCTTACCTGTGATTATTTCTCGGGTACAAGCTTCAGGAGGATTCAGTAGCCCAGCAACTTGTAACTCCCTCTAACAGCGCAGTGTCCCTTGTCACACACACTTCACTTTTGAGGAGCTTTGCCTGGATGCGATGTATGGGGGGGCTCCATCATATGATCATTTCTAGTCATCTAGAAAACAGCACAAAATCACTCGCTTCACTTGTTGCAACCAGACACTCTCAGTGATCATATTTCATCACTTACATAGCTGAGCTATGACCTCCCCAGTAAATAGCTTAGGGCTGACCTGGAGATCAGAAACTATCTTCCTAATGTCTTTTGTCAGCTGAGGGGAAAGGTAACCAAATGCTATGAAGCTAAAAACACTGTGGACCAGACTCTTCCAGTCTTTCAGTGTTTAATATCTATCTACTCAGTATGCAGCTCCAATGAAATAATCTAGACAACTCTAGAGTAGTCTGGATCTGTCCAGTATCACCAGCATCTGACTTTCAAAATGTTTGTTTAACTAATGTATGTATGTGTCAACATTTTCATTAAAAAAAGATCCCTCTTAGTGGAAGAAATTAAAGAATAGCTGAGGAAAACATTCTCATAATGTTTTAACACTACGAAACTTTATATTTAATATAAACATAAAACATTTTTATATTTAATCCTACCATGCTTTTAAATACTTTTGTAAGAACTTAATGAGTGTATTAATTCTCAGTACATATGAATTACTGCTTTGCACTAGATTTGACTGAAGAATGGATTTCCTCTCAAATGAAGAGTATTTTTCTGGGGTGCAGTTAATATTCTCTCACTCACATTTCATTATAATAGCCCTATTTTTCCCGTCTGCTTACGCCTGCAGAACGCTAGGAGTTATAGCAGAAGTATTTCAAATGAGTTATGTGCACGACTATTGTCACTGTGAAACGTTTCCTCTGGGGGACACAGATCACACAGGTGACAACCTGCTCCTGCTACTGGTTATACCAACTGCAACTTCCTTTTCCATAGGTATTTTTATTAAGAGTTACTATAAATAGCATTGTAAAAACAGCAACTCATTAGCTAGCAACGCCTAGGTGCTTTTGCTTAAATAAAAAAAAAACTACTGAAAAAGTTGCTAGCTATTTCTATCCTGATACAGTCTACAAATAAGCTAGCAAACATTTTCTGGTGCATAACCTGTGCTCACACAGTGTGTCTATTAACATAACACTTTTGCTTCAAAACAGTTTGTTAAATTCCTCCTTGTTGAAAATGATTCTAGATTAGGAAAGTAAAATTTAAAAAAGGTGCACGGAAGCATATACAACTACGTATGCATGTGTATATAAACTACATATTTAGAACTACCAATACACATATAAGACTCTGGCTTACCAAGTATTTTCACAGACTTACCGCTCAAATTAAATTGCCTTATGTTATGCTTGAAACCAAGATTCAGTTACCTATTTCTTATTACAAACGTAATGTCAACCCCTATAAGGGAAAGGGCGTACTTAACAGTAGCAGTGACTGTCTGAAACATCTCCCGTAATGTTCCTGAAGAGTATTACCTAACAATTTTGGTCTGATGAAAGTTAAATACTTGAGAAGGAAAATATTGAGAACTGGGCTATCAGCTCACCTTTCAAAAAGGAAAAGCCTATCAGGCTGAAATTAAAATCTGAATGTCCTGTTTTTAACTCATGCTCCATTTATTGAGACAGTACAGCATGCTGCCTGACCCACAAAATCAGAAATTTTAAGGTATGGACCAACAGCTGATACAGGTGTGCACTTAAATGTCAGTTTGTGAAGTGGGGTGAGAAATGCACATCTTCGACTCCTACTACAACCTGGCAGCAATATCTACATTTCTAGATTTACCAGTGTCCGTCAACCTTGCAGCAAGTAAAATTTGAGATGTTTATGGGTTTTGGCTAGCAGAACAAATACATTTCTGTAGTTTTTAAAAAATTCAGACTGAGCAGCCAGCCCACAATCACAAAACTAGAGGATGCTAGGGGGACTGATTTGCCACACACAGGATATGTAGCGGGGGATAACTACAAGGTCAGCTTCTATACTTAGATGTGCTTATTAAAATTAAGACATTTGGGAGCTTCATACGATAACACCCCTTTAACAACAGATTAAAAAGATACTATAAAGTACCAGTAAAGCAAGACTAGGAGCATTGTCTTTAAATTATTTTATGAAGCTATCAATGCAAAGGAAAGTCATCATTAAAGGGACATCTGTAACAATTCAAAACAAGTATTAAAAATGCAAAATCCAATTCATTCAAGAAGTAAACAGCACAAGTAAAGGTTGCAAAAATATGCAATAATTTTTTTGGCTTTTAAATTAAAATTAAATACACTGAAAATAAATAGATAGAAGTTTCTTAGCTGCGCAAAAGCAATCAAGTACTCATAGCAATGATGTAATTTTTGATCGTTCAGTTGGTATTCATTTTTCCTTACAGAGGCACATATATGATGACATGGCAGCATAAACATCTTGCAGTGTTTTTTAAATACAGCTCCGAGCTGTTTCTTCGGCATGATAAACAATGTGATTCTTTTGAAATACTGCAAGCTAAGGAGTGTTCTTGGAAACCTAGAACTGCTATATTTACACCTTACATACGAGGACTGGTCACTTCACCATTCACAGGGGCTGTAAAAAGATCCTGCCACAACATAACGCTGCTGCTTTTTCTGGTACTGAGTATGAGTGAAGAAAAAGGAGACTAGGACAAGTTACTGTATTACTGCCTTTACTGCTCAAGGTTACACGAAACTCTGAATTTGGAATGCAGAACTTTGTTCCCACATTCTAATAACTCCCTCTACAGAGTTAACACTGCTTTTTATACGCAATAGCAGGGTACCATAAATTACAGCCATAGCACTCAAGAGCTTATTGTCTGGTACACAGGAAAAATAGGCATACTAACAGGACAAATTTGAACAAAACCCTTCCTGAAGTTTCACACTACAATTAGCATCTTCATGAAAGTCAGACCAATTTACCCAGCTTTTGTGACATGGATGTTAACCAGCACTTACTGTTTGTCCTCAAACATATGCTTGAAATACTCATTCATCTCAGGTTAAAACTGTTCATAGAAGGAGCATCCACTCACGTAACAGTTTCAGATTGTGAAGTTTTATTATTTATATAGCCTCTACAGCTTTCTTAATTCCAATCATTTATTAATATCCTATTAGTGGGGCACTGAATTTTCATTAAGAGACTTTTTTGCTTTAGATTTGCTACCCAACTTGACATAAAAGCCTAACAGACAACTTGTAGACTTCATCCACATCAGCAGAACCTGGTTCACAGCTAAGACAGTCAGCCTATCAGTCTCCTATAATGCCTGCACTTACAAATTCCCCCTATAAATTTGCGTCCCTTCGAGCACAGAAGTCCGCTCCTCCACTCCCTGTAACGTTAAGCTCTATAGCATACTGCAGTCTGTAACATGAGCACCATGAACACAGGAGAAATTTAGTATTTGATCTTTCCATTTCCATACAGCTCGTACTACTTGCAGGTAATTCATATTTTGTCCAGGTGAGTGACAGCAGCACAGCTCTAAGCAGACATTGTTATTTGTGTACTAAGGCCCCTTGCCCCACCTCCCTCAGGAAAAAAGGCAGCAATGAGGTATTGCAGTAGCAGACAAATTCCACAGTGGCATATAGCGATCATAGCAGCAAGTTGTTTCAGAATAGTAAACTATATTTGACTGGCACTTTTAAATCACTGAATATAGTCATACATTGTAATTCACAATTTAAACACTGAATGCAATTGTTTTTAATGGTGAATCAGGTACCAAAGTTCTCCTGCATATGAATGAATGTATTTCAGCAGCTCTTCTCGACCAGCACCAAGCTGCCTCTGCAGTCAGTCCCAGCAGGTGATCCTTTCCTGCTCAGGAATCAGGCTCCAGTTGGGCGAAGGCTTGTCCCTCCCCAGCCAGTCAAAGTCATCCACTGTGTTCCAGTTGTTCCTGTTTCTGTCCAGCCCAGAAGACTCGAAATCCTTCTCCATACCAGGGTAGCTCCAGGAGTAAGGGGCAAAGGAGACCTTAGTGCAGTCTTCGATTACAGCCCGGCTGGTCACCTGCACGTAGAACCGGCTGTCCCGAGTGCGATGGGTGCGGAGCTGCTGGCAGGCCAGCACCAGGAGGCAGTCACTGCAGCCGTCCACCAGCACGGAGGTGGAAACGGGCCCGCAAAGCACGGTGCAGCCCTGACAGTCCCGCACCCGCAGCGTGTTGGCGTTGCCGCGGAGCCGCACCCGGCAGCCGCGCAGCTCGGCGAGCACCCCGTCGC